ATTAACAAGTTTATTAAATATATAAAATTAACCATAATTAATAAAATTTTCACATCCAATTCATTTATAACAATCCACGATTACATAGCTTATCGATTTATATTAAACTAGCTGGCCAGGCAGACGTCGTTCTGACCTTTTCGACGACCCTTCTTATACAAAATCCTTAAATTCGTAATAAAAAAATATTGAGTGTCACTTATCAGAATAAAAACTATACTATCTCTCAAGTTGGACCAAACTGCACAGAGTGTGCAAAATTTCATTGAAATCAGTTCAGAAGTTTAGGAGTTCATCGCGGACAAACAATGTGACACGAAATTTTTATATATAAAGAAATTATTCGTGCTTATGCCATCTAGCGCATATCTCATGTACCACTTTGAGAGTCAATCAAGTTTAGTTCGATAAAATGACTTTATTTGTAGAATAAAGTAGATGGCGCTATTACAAAGCAATTTTAATAAGTACTTACTATAAAATTAAACTTTTATCTTATATTTATTTTATGCCACACTTGTGGTTAAAAATAATCATCTGCCATGAAATATTTTTATTGCATGCCTTCAGCGCAAAGCGCGTAGGTATGTTCTACTAGCGCCTAAAAATGAAGATTCCAACGTTTTGTCGCATGAAATCTTATCTAACAATCATATTGAACATAGAAATGATATAAAAAGCACATTGTCAGAAAGATAAATGATTGTTGAACTTATTAATATTTTTTTTAAATCGATTAATTGCTATTTTTACATAAAAAAGTGGTTTTACTGGCTTATGGTGTAGATTTATGAAGTCCACATGGAGTGGTAAACACGATAACTTTTGGAAAAATCAATTGTTTAACCCAATCTATTTTTTAATCTCTTCATCTATCATGTGGGAAGCCATAGAATGTAAATGGCAGTTTAACTTTGTTTTAGTTATAATTAATTTATTTCGGCTGCGAAATTTCGAAACTTTCGGTGTTTTAGCAGCCTTGTATTAATTTATTTTACTAAATAGACTGCTTCACTCAGTCCGACGTCAACCGCCGTCATGATATATATATATATATATATATATATATATATATATATATATATATATATATATATATATATATATATATATATATATACTGTATCGGTTGTTTGCAGCATCTCAAAAAGATCGCTGTACAAATACAAAATATTCCAAAAACCAAATTTCATACATACTTGATTATTATAATAATCAGAGATTTTTATTACAATATTTCAAAAGCACAGAATAAATAATAGTGGTACGTACTAAAAGTAAGTAGGATGTATATATTTATACTTAAATACGTCTTCGACTTTATGGAGCGACCTGAATGAGGATATGATGATCATATGAGTCGTGCACTTTTGGATTTTCCAAAGTTTTTTTAAATTGAAGTTTGACATAAAATTATTGCAAAATTGGAAGTATAATAAGGTTATTAGTGAAAACTTGTGTGTATTTAAACTACTTTAAAAAAATCCGTATAATCATGTTATACGTAATTTTTTTAATGCGCTTAGGGCATGTACGATTGGATTTACCAATAGTTTATTTATATTTCATATCATTTGAAGGTTTCACGTCCACCGTATGTGAACTGCACATAATATATTCTTTTTTGTATAGCATTATTTACGTTATCGATATATATCGAAGTGCTGATTTGTTTGTACCTACAATAAGGCTATTCGAGTTCAGAACACAGTACAAAACCTATCCAAGTGCAGAAACATGTAAGAGAGGGTGCCGTTATTATCCGTGAAACTCTTCGACGCTGAATTGGAAGACGTTTTTAAGTCATACAGGACACGGAATCTATATCAATATATATATACATTATCCACATATATATATATACATTATCCACCTTCGATTTGTGGATGATAAAGTTAGTCATTAATGCAGAATCGCTGAAAGTGCTGGACACTGTGCTCAATGGCCTCTATGTTGTCTCCCAACATTCATGAATAAGACAAAGGTCATGTGCAACTTTGATGAACAGATTAATCGATGGATCTATTTCAACTAGTCAGGGTTTGGGAGATTACGACACATATTCTGGATATAGTTTAAAACTTGAAAACAAGAGTGTTAAACCAACATGTGTTGCCAATGATGGTGTATAGATCTGCGATATGGTCGTTCACTGCATGCTATGTGAAAAATTAAGGTCTCCTAGGGAACTATTGAGAGAGCTATGCCCGGGATTTCTCCGCGTGATAGACTTTTTAAAGAGAATATCCGCAGTAGAACTAGAACAACCAACATAGCCCAACAGATTCTTAAGTGACCATCAATGGAGAAAATGGTTCTCGAGCGACAGCATCCTAACGGTAAGCGAAATATAGGGTGGATCCCCACTAGATGTCGTAACGACCTGGTAAGAGATGCAGGAAGTCGATGGATTTCCGTGGTTTGTAGCATTCCTTGGGAGAGACCTATGTTCAGCAGTGGACTTGTGCAGGCTGTAATGATGAAGATTTAATCATGCAATGCGCTCATCTCTTTTTTATTTTATTTTTTACTTTTATAGGATAGGGTGACAAGCAAGCACACAGTCCACCTGATTGTAAGTGGTTACTGTGATCCATAGACATCTACATGTGTCGATGTATGCAAGTGGCTAAGGACCGTGCTTTTTGGCATTTCTTTTAGAAGGCATATGTACAGAAGTGAACTTGTAATGACCGTAATAATAATAATAATGATGATGATGATGATGAATTGGACGATGGAGAAAGAGTAAGAGTCTGAGAATGTACGAGTCTGCCGTTAATAGTAACGTAAAGTACACAGGTAGGGGTGACAGCAGCAGTGAAGCATGTGCCCCATAGACAACTACGCATATTCTCGAATATGAATGAGGACTTTGTGAAGATGGAGATGAAATGCCTTGTTACCAATAAAAGCTTCTTTAGTTTTCATCGTCACCGAGCGAAATATAGCAGCATTGTGTTGTATTCTCTGAAATTGTGATCCTTTTCTGGTCGAGCCGAACTATTCGTGTTTTTTAATAGAGAAGGGACAAACGAGCATACGGATCATCTGATGGATTGTGACTACCTCTGTCCATTAACTTTAGATGCGGATTTGGAGGAATTTCAGATGCGTTGTCGACAAAAGGAGTAAACCCGACCACCACTTTATACAAAACGTCGTGAATTTTATATCTTTGCGATTCTATTCTCTCTGGTTTTATGTGTCACGAAATTACAAGTAATAAAATGCTCGGATTACCTATCCAATCGAGGAGAAAATACATTAAACGATGGCAATTTGAGTTTCATTAAAATATCGTAGAACGATGTTTAAATATTTTCGTGTGATGTTACGTTATTTGCATGATTATCACTTTGCGACATGTCTCCGCTAGGTACATAGGAAAATTTATGCGAACCGTTACCTCAAATCAATACATTCTTTGTTACTCATACACTGTGTAGGTATACGTTATACTACTTCAGTTAAATAAATGTTTTAATGGAGCACTAAAATTGGCGGCTGTCGCTACTAGAGATATGATCACTTCATTTCATCCCAAAGGTTAAAAGTACAATGGTTGTCGTTTTGTCATTGTTGGCTGTGGAAGTTGTCAGCACGCAAAAGTCATAATTGTTCTCAAACGTTTAAAAATTTAATGGTTATTACAAGACAGTAGTAGAGAAGTGATGCATGGTAATGGCGTAATAAAATCCATAATCCATTTTGACTATAGTAAATGCTAAATAAAAATGTTACGGCTTTCGGTCCATCGGTATAACCATCGTCAAATGCAGACGCGTTGTCATCCCTCAGAACTAAGAAGGAATATCTCGTTTTTAAAAAAAAGGTTCTCTGGTCCTCATCGTTTTTGATATTGTGTGCGAGCATGGTACTTCTCCCGTTGTATCGAACCTATTCTTGCTGCAGCTATGATATTTATGAATAAACATCATACCTAATAAAAAAAGCCATACATAATATAAGAAATCATTATGTAAACATCATACCGTTACTGTACAATCAAGTTTACTGTTGAACATAGGCCTCGACATAAACTACTTCATAGGGGGGATATTAGCCATAATTGCCACGCCTGGCACGCGGGTTGGCAAACGTAGTTTTTTATCAGGAAGACGCTGCCGCCCATCTCCTGATCCGCTTCCCTCTGTCGCCACGTAAGACACCCATGAGATGATATAGGGTAGTGAATATTCTTACACCGCCACAGCACGGTAATAATCATAAATCAATATTATTTCAGCAACTTTTACTTTTTTTATAGAATAAGGGTGACAAACGAGCACACAATCCTCACGGCTGACAACGCATCTGCATTTTGATTCGTAAACGAGGATAGATGTAGATGTCTATAGGCCACAGCAACCACTTACCATCAGGTGGTAGAGCCATGCTGCAGCTATATTATGGTTGTAGCACGAATGGGTCGGCTCGACCGGGGAAGAACCACGCTCTCACAGAAAACCAGCGTAAAATAGCAGCTTAACGCTGCTGTGTTTCGTATGGTGAGTGTAGAGAACCGGAGACCCTTTTTACTGGCAAAGAGGCATTCCATCTTAGTCCTCACGGGTGACAACGCATCTGCATCTTGAGTCTTTATTGAGGATAGATGTAGATGTCTATGGGTCACAGTAACCACTTACCATCAGGTGAACTGTGTGCTCGTTTGTCACCCGATCCTATAAAAAAAAAAAAAAAAAAAAAGGTGGACTGTGTGCTCGTTTGTCATCCTTATTCTATGTAAAACGTCTTCAGAACGCATCTGTGACCTTCTTTGTTTGAAGTTGGATGCAGATGTCCATAGTCTGCAGTAGCCACTTACCATCAACTGAACTTTAAGTTCGTTTGTCACTTTAGTTTTATTAAATAAAATTCTTTCTTCTGCAGCATTGTTTATTAATCCATATGCCATTTATTACGTGTAACTTGAAACATTTGTCTAGACTTATCGTGTTTGTTTTAGATATTTAATAAAAGAAGTATTTATCTCACAGCAGGACAGAAAGAACTGAAGATGCAGATACAGACAAGATAAGCAACAATGCAGTGAGGCACAAGATAGTTGTACTAGGAGCGGCAAAAGTGGGAAAATCATCACTAATATCACAATTCCTCTATAACACCTTCTCCTACAAGTACAAGCGAACCGTTGAAGAAATGCACCACGGGGATTTCAATGTTTCTGGCGTTCGGCTCACGTTGGACATACTGGATACCTCAGGCGCTTACGAGTTCCCTGCAATGCGTGCCCTATCCATGCAGTCCGCAGATGCGTTCATTCTTGTATACGATATAACAGAAGCAAACACATTTGCAGAAGTGAGGGCACTTAGGGATCAGATACATGAAATAAAACAAAGTACGGCTGTTCCTATTGTTGTCGTTGGCAACAAAGTTGATCTAGCTGAAACCGGTGAGAGAGAGGTAAGTCTTTATTTACTTATTGATAAAATATAAAAAATGTCAGTTACGAAAGGCATATTTCAATTATATTAAATTTACCGAGTAGTGGCGGTGTAAGAATATCTAATACCCAATTTCATCTCGTGGGTGTCGTAAGAGGCGACAGAGGGAAACGAATCAGAGGATAAAATCTACGGTAGCTATTCCGTTTGCCAAGCGTGGCAACTCTGGAAAGTATCCCCCCTATGAGCCAATCTATGGGGGAGGCCTATGTTCAGCATTGGACTTTAATAGGCTGTAACGATAACGGTGTAATTTATTTGATTCTTAGCTATTTTTGTTATAAAACATTACCCTACTTTTATAAATATATTTATTTTATAAAATAAATTGCGTCTTAACTCCTCGTACAATGAAGAAGACTTAATTGTAGCTCTAACAAAAACTTCGTCTCAAGATTTTCTTTGTTACGATACTCGTCTTTCGTACGTGCAAGGCGTACATAACTTAGCAATAAATGTATTAGTATTGAATAAGTAAACTGAATTTATCACTAATGGTTGAAATAACTTTGAAAAAAAAAGGTATGAAAACTTCACCTAAAGAAATCACAAAAATTATTGCACGTTTTTATTCAAGTAATCTCTGACTTTTATACATTTAGGTGTGATAAACGAGCAGACTGACCATTTGATGATAAATAGCTCATAAACACCTAGATACTAGACCCGTAGCTCAGGACCTAAGTGCTCGCTGTAAATTTCACAGTACGCGAGCAACCCTAGTTCAATTCTTTCCGGCCCCAAGGAATTTTTTAATTGCAATTTTAAGTGCTGATTTACCACCTGTTTGCATGTCTGAGAAATAAGAAAAAATATTTCCAAAGACATGTGAAGTTCGCCAACACGTATTGGAGCAGCGCGGCGGACATTTCCTTGCCCTAAAATCCTCTCAGAAGTGAGAGGAGGCATGTTCCCAGCAGTGGGACGTATATAGACTGTAACTTTAAACACCTGTCTTTGACTACTGTCTTTGACTAAAACTAAAATGCAGATGTGCTGTCACTCTTGAGCACTTCGATGTAATTCCCCGTTGCCAGTAAAAAGGGTCCTTAGTTCTTGTCACTCACCGTATGATTTACAGTAGCATTACGCTGCTATTCCCCAGTCAAACAGACCCATTCGTTCTGCAACCAACATAAAAATTTTTTTTAATAATTTTTCATTTTTCGGTGTCATTTACACATTTTGTGGTCTAAAAAGTGTTAAAATATGCACATTTATTTCGTTTTGTCGGTGCAACTTAGAGCTTTAGTTTTTTTTTGGAGCTATTGTATTAGCGTCAAGAAGGCATTGTGGTATAGTGTGAATTCTGATGATTATGAGTCCAGGAATAGGAAGAGATACATTAATCAATCAAATATTAATCCGCAATCCAAAGACCAAGTTGAGAAAAGTGTCGCGAGACTTGGGGATTAATCGCTCTACCATACAACGTATAGTAAAATATGATATTCAAGGGCAAAATATGTGTCCTGATATAAATGTTGTTCGCTTAAATAATGCTTCACAACGTTAAAATGTAAAAAATTCCTATTTATGTGTATAATTATTATCCTTTCGTATAACCAGCCTTAATCACTAAAAGAATCTGGTATTTCACTTGTCTGAGATCTGCCATAGTTGCTCTCCATTGATGGTGGTTTGTTGGTCGATTTGCCCTACCACTAGCAAACCGAAAAACTAGTGATACCCTTGACACTGTGCCCCTTCTTCTATATCTATATTATAAATTATATTTCGTTCATAAATATTACGTTTTATTTAATATTATCTTATTTTTTGTAACGTATCTTATATAATATTATGTTTTTTTAAAACTTTGTTACTTAATTACCCAGACAAACTTGTAACAGATAATATTCCAGACTCGTTAAATAAAATAAGAATTGTATAAATATGTGAGTGAAGTTATAAAATAAAATATGAATAAAGATATTTAGGTTTTTGGTGGAATTATACAAAAGAAAAAATGGAAAGACTGGTTAAAAGAGCTTTAATGACTTAAAAGAGTTTTAGATAGTAAATAATATTGTTATAAATATACTATATAAATTAACAGTTTAAATTCTGACAAACGAGTGAACTAGATAAATTGTGGCATCTTTTCATACCGTGACCCTTGCAAATAGAGCCACGCGGCAGCTTTTGCTGTTGCACGTATGGGCCGGCTCGAGCCGGGTAGGCTAAAACAGGCGACCGCTCAGACCCTCATTACCGCTCTAACTACAGGCCCATCGCCATCACCTCCTTCTTCTCCAAAATAATGGAATCCATTATAAACTGCCAGCTTATGCGGTACCTTGAGGATCACCAGCTGATTAGTGACCGCCAATACAGTTTTCATCGGGTTCTATCAAACAAACAACAAACAAACTCTGTCTCGAGTCTTTGCTGAACAAAGTCTCGGATTGGGGGCGACTAAATCCAGTCCAGTTTAATCCTCAGAAAATACAAGTTTGCGAGTCTACCGTCAAAAAGAACCCCTTTGTCGTATCTCCTCAGTTTCAAGGCACTCCCCTTGTTGCCACAGCCAGTATCGGAATCCTCGGCGTCGACATATCGAGTAACGTGGAGTTTCGTGGTCACTTGAAAGAGAAGGCCGAATTGGCCACTAAAAAGATTGGCGTGGTCAGCAGAGCGGGACAGTATTTCATGCCGGTACACGGCCTGCAACTTTACAAAGCACAGGTTCGGCCCCACATGGAATATTGTTGCCATCTCTGGGCTGGGGCTCCCCAGTGCAAGCTTCTTCCACTTGACCACATCGAGTGCAGAGCGGCTCTAATCGTCGGCGACCGAGGCCTTTCCGATCGGCTCGATTCACTGGCGCTGCGCTGTATCCCTTTGCATTTAATTTCGCATTCACCACGGGGAATGATCTAAGGAATAGTTCGGATTAATCTCAGTAGCCAAATTTCACGAACGCACATCGCGGCTTAACTCCCGATACCATTCACACCATCTGGATGCTTGGCGGTCTACCACTGTACGTTTCACTAAGAGTTTTCTTCCGCGTACGACCTCTACGTCGGATAACTTACCACCGGCGTTTTCCGGACCGATACGACTTTGGGACCTTCAATAAAAGTTCCTACTCCTTTCTAAAAGGCCGGCCAACGCACTTGCAATTCCCTTGGTGTTGCAGTTGTTCATGGGCGACGGTAGTCACTTACCATCAGGTGAGCCGTATGCTCGTGTCTTATAAAAAAATTATTTATCATAATATTTATGATCAACATGGGTAAAATTTCAAATTATTTATTTTTTTAATACTTATGTCAGAAAGTCACAGGCAGTAAGTACATTTTATTATAAACAATACCGCAGTGAGACCTAGAGATAAGCGGGAGTCGTGCGTCATTTTGTCTCCTGAGGCGAAATTTGTCTTCCGACTCCGAGAGTACCTCTTATTACTCTGGAGGATATTATTGTTGAGTTCACACGCAATATTGTTAACCATTTTTTTATGTACAATCTTAGCGCAAATTATATTAATATTATAAAATAATCCAATGTTACAACAAACTTAAATAGAATTTCATGGATGAACATGCCATAATTGACAAAAATGTAACATTTTATGTGGTGTGTCATGGCGTGTTGCATCTATATACGAGTAGTGACATTTAAATGCCGGTAATACATCGGAAATGACAACGTTTTATTTACCACACCTCTGCAACTATTTTGTTTGTACGAGTATCATGCACTGTTAAACTCTAAATCATATTTACTGGATTTTGCATTTGCCTTATCTTTTTTAATGTATAGAAGTTGATATATTCGAAAATCCTAAGCCTTATTTGATTTAGTTATTTCGTTTTAAAATAAAGTATAAATCTAAAAACAAGATGACTATAACAGAAAAATAAATAAAACTAATTGAAAGTTGGAGAACTGTCAATGAAATATATATATTCTAAAATTCTATAACGTTTTACTATTGATAGAAGTGTTATAACGGTCTGAAATAGTCGTAGCTCGAATAATAGCCACGAGGGAACTTACTATTATAGATCTATAGTATGTTTTCTCCATCAATACCCGCATTATAAACTGGTTATAATTAGCATTTAAATTAACTCTTCTGAACTTAGTTTCAATCGATAAGGTAATTCAATCGATATCTCGTAAAGCAGTGTTTACTTACACAAACATAATTAATATGACTGAATTTCGTTCTCAATTAGCTAAATAATCTATATTTAAAAAAAATGTTGCTATTTTGGTGACGATAACAACATAAATTGAAATATTGTTTATTAATGAATAAGGGTGACAAACAACCACACAGTCCACCTGATGATAAGTGGATGCTGTAGCCCATAGACAACTTTCCTTGATTAAGAATCAAAATGCAGATACGTTGACGCCCCAAGGATTTATTAAGCTCCTATTTCACGCTGGTATTATGTGAGAGCGTGGTCCTTTACAGGTCAAGCCAACCCATTCGTGCTACACCTTAATATAGGTGCATCATGGCTCTACCCCTTATAAACAATTGTCAATATTGTCAATTAATTATAAAGTTGGACCTTTTATTTTTTATACTAAATACGTTTACTTCGAAAGAAAGAAGTGAAGAAATGCTCTTTAGTGGTAGATTCGTACCGGTAAGCGAAGTGTAGAGCGACCCATTGCTTGATAGAGTGACGACTTGGTGAAACATGCCAGAAGTCGAAGGATATATACGTGGTAGATCCATGCTACAGCTATATTAGTAGTATAGTTGAAGCACGAATGGGTCGGCTCGACCGGGGAAGGACCACGATTCTCACAGAATACCAGCGTAAAATAGCAGCTTAACGCTGTTGTGTTTCGTATGGTAAGTGTAGAGAACCGGAAACCCTTTTTACTGGAAAAGAGGCATTTTATTTTAATCCTCACGGGTGACAACGCATCTGCATTTTGATTCGCAAACGAGGATAGATATAGATATCTATGGGCCACAGCAACCACTTATCATCATGTGGACTGTGTTTTCGTTTGTCACCCTATCCTATAAAAAATGCAGGTGGCTCAGAATCGCGTTTTGTGGCATTCCTTAGTGTTGGTTTCTATGTTCAGCAGTGGACTTTAATGACGATGATGATGATTATAATGGTTACTCGTACTTTACTTGTTAAATATTAATTCTGATTGTTTAGTGGTTATGACTCTTCTAATTATATTTTACAGGTGGAGTTTCACACTACTGAATCAGTGGTTACAGTAGACTGGGAAAATGGGTTTGTAGAAGCGTCAGCAAAAGATAACATTAATGTGTCCCAAATTTTCAAAGAACTTCTAGTACAGGCGAAGGTAAAGTATAACCTGTCACCGGCACTGCGACGAAGACGACGACAATCCCTGCCTCCTGGACCTCAAGGACCACCGGGGACAAGCAATTCTTCATCAGCGCATGCCAATCAACCGCATGTTCCTTCACCAGCTCAACTTGCACATCTACAACAAATACGGGAACGTCACGCCCACAGCAAACGTAACTCATGTATTATTTCTTAAATATTTCTTTCCACTATACTACTAGTCAGTAGACATAAGCCTGAATGATTAAGAAAATCATGAATATATCATTTTCTAACTGTATTCACTTACGTTTGGTGTTAATTGCTTAACATTAAACTTTTTTCTATCCTCTAGCTTGATTAAATACAGAAAAGTACCTTCTCTGTAAATTTTAATTTAATTGATATTACAATTATATCAGATATAACTACAATTAAACTGTCGTGGCAGCTCTTGAGTCTTTAAAACTATTTATAACGTTTACGAAATCATAAAAAATAGATTATATACGAGTACGAGGATCTAACATCGTTTTTCGTTTTTCTAACATCTTACAGAAGCATAAATATCGCCACAAAATATTACAAAGGCTGTAGATTAATTAACGACTATATTTATCGTCTTACACGCGAAAAAGATCACTACACATAACTTTACTGGCCGTATTCATTATATTTATTTTATAACAAAAAAAAATTAATAAATGAGAAATTTTAAGATATGATAACGCCAATGCCAGGAGCAAATTAATTAAGATTTAGGTAAATGTTTTTCTTCAAATATGATGTATGGAAAAGTGATATAACTTACAGTGACTTGTATCGTGACTGGTTTATTATAAGAATATCTTTTATTATTCTACTTTTAAATAAGATTTTCATCGTAGTTATATTGTATACACTGTATTTTAACTGTAAAAAATAAGTTTAATCTATGTGAATCAATATTTAAAAACTATAGTGCCAGTAATTGTCTACTTTGATATAATAAACGTAACGTTCCTTTTTTTAAAGGTGCATTTTTTATAAAATGTAAAAGTATTACATTTAATTTAAAAAAATCATCTTTTTTCAACGGTTGAGAAAAACTGTAATGGTAATGGGATTTACCTTAAGATAAAATAAAATTAATACTTTAATTTTTTATATATTTAAATCACTTTACAGTACAGTACACTATAGTAAGTTGCTGAGCTTAATTTCTATGAATTATAATTTATATGTCCGATATACAACTTTCATTTCTAATACGGAGGTTACACGTTAAGTTTGGCGTCAGTTCAGTCTGTGACTTTGATCACGTATAGACTGATGGCTGAATGATGGATTGACGATTTTGACGGTAAGTCAGACTGACGCAGTCCAACCGAAAACTTCTACGCGATAACACGCATACGCATTAAGTATGATCCATGACTGATGTAAGAATGAAGATTTTAACAAGAAAAAATTAAAGAATTCACGGCAATAGTTGTATCTTAGGGTATTAATTTTCTTTTTCACATCTTCTACATTAGCTTGGGGGTTTTTTTTTAAATTACTAGTAGTTTCTGCAGCGCCTTGTTTCTCTTACATTTATTCATATGTTGGTTATTTGTTTTATCCAAAAGAATAGGTAAAAATTCTAAAGTGTCGACTCCGTGGCGCAGTGGCTTAGCAATGAGTTGCAGAGCTGGGGGCCGTGGCTTCGAATCCCGCACGGAACAAGTATTTGTATGGCCTGCAAATAATTGTTACAGGAGAAAATCCTAGTATAGGGGTAACGATTTAAAAAAAGTTAGAATAAATATTATTTCTCCTGGGCTAATGATTGAGAAGGGGACGTCGGGGTGGCGGGGGAGTCGGCGCACGCGGTGACACGGCGTGTGACTAAATGGCTGTCTAATCGTCAGACTGATAGCTATTAAACACACGTTCAGTCTGGGATCAGTCTGACCAGCCTGACAAAAATTATTAAAATCATCATTCTGGACCATCAATCCATCAGTCTACGCGTATACAGTCAGTTTCCCGTCATTCTTACATCAGTCATGGATTGAACTGACGCCAGAATGAGCATTTAACCTCCGTCAGACATACGAGTACATATGACACCCGAGGGCCACAAAACGCCGAAGAAAGCGAGCAAACGTATGGTGTATTAAGTAATATTTTGCTTTGGCTTTAGGGAATAAAAAGAAAAACTGCTATCCACACGTTTGCAGAATGCTAGGTTTCTTAAATTTGTGAAGTATATTATATAAAGGTATGTAAATGCGGTGAATTTGTTCTATGAAACTAAATGTTTTTTTTTTCTTATAGAACTATTAGAACATAGTCACTTGTGTCAATACGGATTTTCTCAGAGATGACAGCTATCTAGAAAAAGTAAAAAGTTATCTCCGTACAAAAATCCCAATCGTCGTAGCTCTATGACTGACATTTTATTCATGTCGACTATAAATATTAAGACTATATAATCCTGTTTTAGAAAGTAATAAATTATTTATAAATACTTCATTCCAAAAATCCATTGGTTTATGTGGTTCACACATTAAAAAAAAATATTATTAAAAATATTCTCTTTAATCCGTATCGGAGAAAATGTTAACATCACATTAGCTATTGTCTAATGACATGATAGTAGATTTTGATCAATGTTTATTTCATTTTTGGCCTATATATGGAGGGGTTTTGTTTTATTAATTATGATTTTATAGGTTGAGATTTTTTCATTTTTACTATAAATCATTGATGGTGATTTATTAAATACGAATAAGAAACTCGTGACATTTAATAAATTATATGTACATTTTCCAAAATAATCAATAAAACTTAAATACATTTGATTACATTTTTCTATCAAATTTTAGAATAAATATTGAAAGTGGAAATATCAATTTTAGGATGTGCCTTTTTTAATATAGTATTTTATACTTAGATATATTTTATGTTTAATTATTTTTATTTTTATTTAACCAAGTTTAACACCTTACATCCTCAGATCATAATACTTATACTCCTGGATAACGCTTCCCGCTGTTATTATGTTTAGAATCTTAACTTCCCTGTCCAAGAAAAAGAGAATAGTTAAACAATCGAAATGTTCATATTATATGACTCACGTGACAGTAAAGACTTTAACTTGCGTATGGGGAAAATGTTTTGTATGTACTTATATAAGTAAATAAAACAATCAGTCAAAAGAGAATGGATTTTATGGTGGCGGACATTTTTTTTTTCAAATATGTCAATATTAACGAAATTGTTTTTAATAATCGAAAACTTTTAAAATTGATTATAAACAGTCAGTCTATAAATAAAAAATTCTAATGACAGCAAAGTTTTTACGAGAGTTTCATTTTTCATGATTACAAGGACCTCCGGACATCGATTTTAGAGGCAATTAATTCATACATAAACTGGAGCAAATGGCGGCGAATTTTTTTTAATTAGACCTATAAAGTGTTATTAAAAAGATTTATATAATAATTTTTATCAAGCACTAAATCATCTAATTACTAGTCGACCAAATTTACTGGCACTGATTCGAGGTATTTTAATTTTGATTAACATGCAACATTGAAAAAATGATCGCGATTACAGAACACTAATACTCTTTACCGAGAGCTCAAAATGCCAAAACATAAACATAAACAATTTTGGAATTTTAGTTAATTATTCTCAAGATTTCATAAAAATGTCCATACTTCCCGTTGTTTGATAAGTTTCCCATTACTTTTAATCGTCATGCATTATTTCAGCATGATAAATTAGGGCAAATCGTTATTTTATTTTAGAATAAGGGTGGACAAACGGCCCATAGAAATCTACATCTTTCTTCGATTACAAATTAAAGTGCAGATGTATTATCGCTCCTAAGGACTACACTCACCATACGAAGCACAGCAGCGGTATGCTGCTATTTGACGCTGGTATTCTGTGAGAGCGTAGTCCCCCAGTCGAGCCGACCCATTCGTGCTACAACCATAATATAGTTGGAGCATGGCTCTAGAACGTGTAAAATTTTGTATTTTTTATTTTTATTATTCCGTACACTCTTATATAGCTGCAATTGACACTGCACGGACTCGCGGTTGGTAGCGGCTTATAGTTATTATAATTATTTATTTATTTTTATTTAATAATTAATATACGGCTATTTTATTTTAATTAAAAAATATACGGCTATTTTTTTACGTATCTTTGCACGTGCTTATCTTTCTAGATAGTATAATGATTATGGTCTAAATTTCACGTTTTCCTTTCTTTAGATTTTACTTTGTTATTGATTGTTTAATGGGGCTAATCTCCAAGTGTAATAATAGGGAAATAAATATACAAAAATATTGTTTCATCCATTATTTAACATTGTAAATTTCAAAGGTTTATATATATATATATATATATATAATTTTTTAATTGTATGAAAATCCTTCGAAATAGTTATTCCAAGCGGTCAAATATTTTTTATTAAAATTTTCCAATTTTTCGCAATAACTGTAAAATATATGAATTCGAAAAGTCTATTAAATTACCTGATAAGCCTATTAAAAATATAGAATCTTCCTTCAAACAATAGAATTTAAGAAAAAATGCAAACGTTTTAAAAATTTGTCAAATATTGTAACTATGAATAAATATGGTAGAACGTATATGTGTAATAATTTGTACCGAATATATCAAAAATTATATCTCTAAATAAATATATTTATTTCAAAAACACGTTGTTATATTGCTTTTTTAAACAACCTTAAAAACATTGTAAAAAAATCTACAGGTCTAAGGACAAAAAATTTTCGAAGACATTTAAGTGTATCAACACGCATTGGTGCAGCATGGCGGAATAATTGTTCCATAATCTTTTCAGAAATGTGAAGAGGTATGTGCCCAGCAGTACTAAGTATAACTTAAATAAATGTAAATGTAACTTTACTACAATTTCAATCTTATTATTTATTATTATATTCATTTAGCCCAACCAGATGTGAAAACTCTATAAATACCAAACCAAAGTAATAATAATAATAATAATAAGACGTAGGGAAGTGACTACCCTATCACCGGCTGACGTAACTGGTAAGTGGCAGAACTACTACTTTGCCGCAGTCAGTCAGCGCCTTGCCAAGAGGTGTTAGTGCCGTGCCTCGGCAAAATTGAGGGTGCAAATGGCCTCACAATGAAACTGTGCCGGGTCTGGGCGTCTCCCGTAATTGTCACCCAAAAAATGGATGATGG